TTGCAAATTTTAGCATGCAAAAAATGGTTTAAAATTTTTATCACGGGCCGGCCCTATGGCGCACTGGAGAATGCCCCGCTTGGGAGTGTGGCGGCGCTCCCGCCGAGGGTTCGGATCCCACGTGGGGACCGGTTCCCGCTCACTGGCTGAGCGCGGTGCGGGCGCAACACCGAGGGTTGCGATCCCGTTACCGGTCAGTAAAAAAAGACAAAAAGGAATTAAAAAAAAAAAAAAATTTATCACCTACTCATGCAAAATTTCTTGTTCATGGAGGCTATTAAGAATTTTTCATTTTCTGTGTGTGAAATACGTCACGTAGAATGCTCAAAGGATAGGTGATGACAAGCGAGATGAAGTGAACCTCCTAGTCACCAGCACCAGGCGAGGAAGGGTAGCACCTTGTGATCCATTTGGAGGGGTCAATCAATCGCCATTTCATGCATGAAGTGTGCTTTCGCAGAACCGAGTCAAATTGTTCAGTGGGGATGTTGAAAATATTTTTATATTCTTATATTTTAAAAAGTAACCTTCCAATCTCCAGACCCATACGGGTGCCTGGAAGGAATCCCCCCCAGGTATCCCGCGAGTCTTAAGCCCGCCCACATGCCAAAGGCTGGCCCTGGTCTCAGGCACCCAAGGCGCACAAGCCCTGAGTCATCAGCCCACGGCAGGGCAGACCGTGTTTACCAGATTCTTCTCAACGCTCGGCTGATGTCACAGACATGGGCATCGGCCTTCCTCGGGGACAATGACTACGGTACTTGTTTAACCTCTAGTTAAAAATGACGGCGCCCCTGAAGCTGCGCTGGTCTCACGGGAGTCGGGGCTTTTTTCTTGCCCTGCCCTTTTGCTTCTTTATTTTTAGTGTGTTTTGGAAACATTTCTTTTCAGTGAGTGTTTGAAAGAGCCCCCGCGCCCCGCGCTCCCTGACGGTGCCTCCCGCTGCAGGACCTGGGGGCGGAGGGTGCCACCCCAGACGTGGGGGCGCGTGGGTGTCACCCGAGGGCGCTCGCCTCCCCCACCCCAGCCTGTCCCGGGCCGCGAGCACCCAGTCAGGGCCCTTCTGGGGGACGAGGAAGGAACTGCCCGAACGGTCGTGAAACTTGGCCGCTACCGTTTCCCCGGGGACCGAAGCGGGCAAGGTCAGAGTTGACTGGAGGGTCCATGCCCCATCCCAGGGCCAGTCAGTCCCCCGTCCCGAACTGCGGAGAGGGGAAGCGGGTCGGGGTCCTCGGGACACGCAGACACCGGCGGGCGGTCCCCAAGCCCCGGCGCCTCCTTAAAGCCCCAGCTCCGCCCCGCCCCTCCCGCCCGCGGTTTTTCCCAACCGCCGGCTCCCCGTCGCTCCGGTGAAGTGTCGCAGAGCCACCCGCCTACAAGGAGCGCGCCGCCCGCCGGTCCCCGCGTCCCCCGATC